TAGACTCAGAGCAGCCCCGGTGTCAGGTCCTCACACCAGTCCCCGCGTCAGGACCACACACCGGCCCGGGGCCGGCAGCCCAGAAAGCCGGGCCTCACCCGTCTCCGTGCTGGCGGCTCTGGCCTGGGGCCCGACTGCAGAGCCAGCTCCCTAAGTGGCTCCAGTGCCGAGAGGTCTGTGCCCCCGTCTCTCCTCTCTGTCCCCAGCGCCGTGTGACTCCGTGAGACGGTCCTCCAGCACAAGACCATTCCCAAGGGTCCTGGGGTGGGAGTCAGAGCCCCACGGTTCGGACCTGGGGGCGCCTGGTCTGCTCTGCCGCCGCCTCCAGGAAGGCTTGAGCGGCTGCCAGGGACCACCTGCTGGCTGCGGCCTGTGGGCCTGAGGTGCAGCCAGCCTCACGTGCGCCCCCGCGGCCCCGCCAGCGCCCACCCCACAGGGGAGCTCAGCGCGCTCGAGCTCTTCCCCAGGGGACGCTGCTTCCCTGCCCACGACGGGGCCCTGCCTCCCACCCCTTCTTGTGCTCCCAGGCCTGACGACCACCTGGCATTCGCACAGGTGCTCAGACCTCGCCTGCTCCTCGTGGGCCCCACCTGCATCATCTGCGTGTCCAGGTCACGCCCTGTCCCCTGTCGTCCTTGACGCCCTTCACGTGCCCTCAGTCTGCTGCGCCCTGCCCCGTTGGCGGTCTGGGGCCTCTGGCCTGGCCCCACGCAGCGCCCACAGACAGCTCGGAAGGTCTGCTGCTCTGTCGCGTGATGCGTGCACTGTCCCGGCTTGGCCCGTCGGGCGTCTGCTCGCTTTCCCCTCTGGGGGTGCATGGTCCCTGGGGGCAGCGGCCACCGGCCAGGGCTGCTGTCCTCAGAGGCCCCAGGGGAGGACGCTTCCGGCCTCTTTGCGCTTCTGTGACCGTTTCGCTTCCGTCTCTGCTTTGTGCTCACGTGCCTCTCTTCTGTGTCCCAGTGTCCCTGCTCCTATAAGGACACTAGTCATTGGCCTTAGGGTCCACCCTGCTCCCCCAGGGCCTCCTCCTAACTTGGCAGCCTCCCTAAGGACTATTTCCAGAAAGTTCCCGCCCACAGGTTCCACTCGGCACGATTCCCCGCGTGCGCGGGCGGCCCGCTTGGGTCTTCCTCTACGTCCCTGAGACACACGCTTTCCGCAGACAGGACGGGCCCTCCGAGACTTCCCGGACCATCCTGCCACCAGCTTGTGCGGTGTCATCCGCACACGGCCTCCGGGTCCTGTGAAAGCTGGCCGGGACCCTCCCCTCCATCCCTCTGCACGGAGGGGCGAGGAGTCCAGTGCCCCAAACGGCCCCCCGACTCCACCCCCTGAGGAGCCCCCCACTCTGGGAGCTGCCCGTGCACTCCACCTGCCGCTCTCGGCTCAGCCCCAGGCTGGAGCCTTTCCTGGGACGGCTCCGCCAGCTCACGTTCCGTCTCCTCAAGAAGCCCCCCCTGATTACCTCCTTTGGAAGGCGCCAAGGAAGAAATCTCTTCTCTGGAGCCGTAGCACCAAGTCCATTCTGGCCACGGACCCCTCTTGACGCGCACCCTCACCTATGGCTTCCTTCTCCCGACCAGCTCTGAAGGTCTTCTTTGCCCTCTATTCGCCGGGAATGCTAACCGGGGCAGGATTTTGTGTTTAAAGCACCAGCCCGTGAGTGTATGTTAAATGAACACATGAAGAAATGCATCAAAGCATCTTTTGCTGACATAGTAGAGTGAGGTGTAAACCTGCACTTTCGGGCCTCAGAGAAGACCCATCAGTAAGCGAAGTAAGCTCAACTGTCAAACAGACAAGTACCCACCACAGACCCTCCCCCGCAGGGTGACTCCGTGTTTCCTCCTGAGACGCTGCTGCTCTCCGCAGCGGCTGCGCCGTTTTACATTCCCGTCACCACTGCGGGCGAGTCTCCGTCTCTCCACGCCTCTGCTGTTGTCTCTTTTTTACTATAACCATCCTAGTAAGTGTGAAGGGATGGGCTAGGCAGGGGGTGGCCGTTAGGAAGGCACCTTTAGGGAGAGCACTGGGTGTTGTAAGACATGAGCCATTGAGTTCTACTCCTGAAACCAAGGCCACACTGTATGTGAACTAACTTGAATTTAAATTGAAAAAAAAAAAAACACAACAAATGGGCAGAGGGCATGAAAGGTCATCTCTCCGGAGAAAGCATATGAAGAAGGCCAATGTACACATGAAGAAGTGCATATTATTATTAATCACTAGGAAAATGCTAATCAAAACCACAGAAGGTTCTTTAAGGGAAACCGGGATATACATTCTTCTTTGGAATTTGAGATAACATTGACAGAATCTACATAATTGTTTTTTAATATTTTTAATGTTTATTCATTTTTGAGAGACAGAGAGCATGAGCAGGGGAGGGGCAGAGAGAGAAGGAGATGCAGGATCCGAAGCAGCTCCAGGCTCTGAGCTGTCAGCACAGAGCCTGATGCAGGGCTTGAACCCACGAACCATGAGATCATGACCTGAGCCGAAGCCGGACGCTCTACTGACTGAGCCACCCAGACGCCCCAAGTCCAGATATTTTTTTATCCAAATGATGACTTTACTACCTGCTAGCTGGCCAAAGGAAGATATGTTACCTTAAGACATACTCAGTCTTCGTACGTCGGAAATGAATACTCTCTCATTCATTATTACCTACGGTGATAAATGGAGAGTTGCATTAGGTTAGCCTCTCAAGTGGACACGGGGAGCGAGAATCGTCACCCGTCCAGATGCACCCCCGTCTCCACCTGCCCCGTCCGTCCCTCAATGCCAAGCCGAAGCTGCAGGGACTGGCCCATGGCTTGCTGAGCCGCCTGCCGCGCTGCCTGCTGGCCCTTCTACGGCCCCAACCCCACTCTCTGGAACCCAGTCAGGACCCAGGTGAGGGGAAGGCCAGGTCTCTCGTGGTGCCGCCCTGCTGGAATATATGCACGGGGGCCTGGGGTAACTCCGCGCACGGCCTTTAGCATTCTACCGCTGCCCAGAGTGTCCAGGTAACCCGGGCGCCCGCTGCCCAGGGCAGCCCCTGCTGCTGACCCGCATCCCCCTTGTGTCCGCCGTCTGCCTGGGCTCGGGGCTGCCTCTTCTTCTCCCCCTGTCCCCCTCCTCCTCCTCCCTCTGACCCCCCCCCTCTGACCCCCTCCTCCCTCCGTCCCCCTCCTCCTCCTTCTGTCCCCTCCTCCCTCCGTCCCCCTCCTCCCTCCCTCCGTCCCCCTCCTCCCTCCGTCCCCC